CTCTCTCTCTCTTCTCTTTCTCTCTCTAACTCATCACTCTTCTCTGTCTGTCTATCTCTGTCTCTTTATCTCTCTTATCTGTTTTTTCTCTTTGTCTCTCTCACTCATCTCTCTTCTCTTTATCTCTCTCTCGCTCATCTCTCTTCACTCTATCTCTTTTCTCTCTATGTCTCTCTCGCTCATCTCTATATATATATATCTCTCTCGCTCATTTTTTTTCTCTCTCTATGTCTTTTTCTCGTTCATCTCTTTTTGTTCTCTTTCTCTTTCTTTTTGTCTATCTCTCGCTCATCTCTTGTTTCTCTCTCATTTTCTGTCTCTTTCTCTCTCTGTCTCTCACTCTCTTTCACTCAACACTCTTCTCTCTCTCTTTTTCTCTCTATCTTCCTGTCTATTTGTCTCCCCCTCATTGTGTTCGCCTTGCTTACTCTTCTCTCCATTCTTCTCTATTTACCAAGCTATCTTTTGATTTATCGAGACACTACAAGAAAATGCACTTTTGGTGACCACTTTGTCTTTCTATCGCTCATCACTCTGTCTCTGTTTCTGTCTCTGTCTCTATCTCTTTTCTCTATCTGTCTCTCACTCATTTCTCTCTCACCACCGATCTCCTCTACCACCTTCACTACTACTGCAAATGTCATTCCACTACCACAACTACTACCACTGTTGTCACACTGCCTCTACAACTATCATTACTACCACCATTACTACCACCATTACCTCTCATCCACCACCGCTACTCTATCTCCTCTACCACTACCACAACTTCATCACTAATCTCATTCGCTATCACCACCACCATCACTATCACCTCTTATCCACCACCTTCACCACTACTGCCGCTCTCTATCCTCTACCACAAAAAAATAGTTCTTGATTTTTAGTAACAAAAAAAATGGGTCGCAGAAAAATATTTTTCATTGATGACAAAAAATTAACTTTATTTTAATGGAAAATATTTTTTATTCAAAATGAAAAATAATAATAATAATTTTTTATTCACTAAAATAAAAATGAAACAAATAAATTTTCAACCTTAATAACTAAAAGAAAACAAAAAATAAAAAACAAAAAATTTCATTAACTACAAAAAAATTATTTTAACAAAAAATAAAATTTTTAAATATTCATTTGTGATGGAAATCAAAAAAAAAAAATTCCATTCACACACCCCCCCTTTTTTTTCCATTCCCGCTCAGGTTACCAAAAACCCCCAATCTCCCCTCTCGGCCCGCCCTTTTTTTTTTTTTTCCATTCCCGCTCGGATTACCAAAAACCCCCAATCTCTTCAACCAAAATCCCCAATCTCTTGAACCAAAAATCTCATTCAACCAAAAATCCCTAATCTCTTCTTACGGCTCTCTCTCTCCGGCGAGCAGCGACAGACGACGGTGAGCTGCAGACGACGTCATCGAGCAGCGTGCGACGAATATGAAGTTCCTCATTTCTTCTCTGTCCTTCTAGACCCTTCGAAGCCTCCTCGCCTTCCAAGTTCGTACAAAACGCCGCGGTTTCATCGAAGTACGAGCAAGAACAGGACTTATTGAGCGATGCAAAGGAACCCAGTTATGTTTGATAATGTTTAGCTCATTGTTTTTTTGTAAATTTATATTTAAAATTTCAAACTATTATGTATTATAATTTTAAAATTTTGATATTGATATTAATTTGTAAATGACAGGTGTTTGGAGGAAGGGACAGAAGATTTTATAGTAAACCTGTTAAATGATCGGACGTGAAACGTTAGAAAGATAAGTCTTCGATGATGATGATGTTCATGTTCTTGTAAAGGTATTAAGCAAATTCGTATTTTTTTGGCATCCATTTTCATGCACATCAAGTGTTTGATTAAATGTGTCAATGGGTTTGTTTTGTCTGTATTGATAGTCACTGCAGTGGATGGTGGAATGAGAGCTCTGCAATTTCTAGGATTGGATGATGAGGAAAAGAGCTATGTTGGGTTTGATGATGATGTTCATGGTGTTTTTTTTTTTTTTAGAAGAAAATGCTTTGCTTATTTTTCTTCTCTGTTTTGTGTGTTGATCAAATGATTCATAATTGTAACAACCCAGATTTTTAATTATTCTGTAGAATTTATACTAATATTATTTAATCTCAGTTAAGAAAATATATATAATTTATTATATATTATTATGTGTAATTTTATAAAATAATATAATTATTAAAAGTTTAGGGGTCAAAATATAAATAATAATAATAATAATAGACATAATAATAAAATAATTAATTAATTTTCTGTTAGTATGTGATAATGTGTAATTTAATTAAGAATTAATTAATTTATATAATTATATTAAAATATTGAGTCAAAAAGATAATTATCTTAAATATCTATTATTTATATAATTATATTAAAATATTAGGTTAAAAATTGAGGAAAGTTGAGGAAAGTGGTTGACACAAAAAAAAAATTACACATTAAATTACTTTCATTTTTACATGAAAAGTTGGGCCTACTTTATGTAGTTTAAATGTGTAAATTTTTAAGAGTATTTCTAGCAATACTTTTTATTTTTTATTTTTTAAATCTTTCTTAATGCATTCTCTCTTTTAGGGAAACTATAACAAAAGTGGGCTTATGAGGCGAAACTTTTTGCAACGGTATATTTACCGTCGCAAAAAGTCATTTTTTGTGAAACTTGCCGTCGCAAAAAATAAGACTTTTTGAGACGGCACAACTTGTTGTCGCAAAAAATATGCCTTTTTGAGACGACACAGCTTGCCGTCGCAAAAAAAATGTGACTTTTTAAGGCAGTACAATTTGCTGTCGCGAAAAATGTTCCTTTCTAAGACGGCACAACTTGCCGTCGCAAAAAAATGTGACTTTTTCATAAAAAATAATAATAATATTTTTTTTCATTAAAATAAAAATAAAACAAATAAATTTTCAATCTATAACTAAAAAAAATGATTTTTTTTTTATAAAAAAATTCATTAACTACAAAAAAAAAATTATTTTAACAAAAAATAAATTTTTTTTGGCGACGACAACCCCCGTCGCAAAAAAAAAAAAAAAGAGGTTAAACCACGTTTTGTTGTTTAAATTTCATTTGTGACCGAATTTTTTTTTTTTTTCATTCCCGCTATGTTTTCTTCCATTTTTTTTTCCATTCCCGTTCTGTAACCCCTCCAACCCAAACAAAAAAATCCCCAATCTCAAACCCCCCCGCCCAAAACCAAAAATCCATAATCTCTTCTTACCTTCATCTCTGTCTCTTTTCACCCATATTTCATCTTCCTCTTTCTCTTTTCTTTCTCTCTTTCACTCACCACTCTCCACTCTTCTCTGTCTGTCTGTCTATCTGTCTCTCTTTCTCTCTCTGTGTCTTTCACTCATCTATCTCTTCTCTCATCTCTTTTCTCTCTCTGTCTCTTTCGTTCATCTCTCTTCTCTCTATCTGTCTCATCTTCTTTCTCTGTCTATCTCTTTCGTTCACCTCTCTTCTCTCTCTGTCTCTTTTTCTGTCTCTCACTCTCTCTCTCTTTCTTCTCTTCTCTTTCTCTCTCTAACTCATCACTCTTCTCTGTCTGTCTGTCTGTCTTTGTCTCTCACTCATCTCTCTTCTCTCTATCTCTCTCATCTGTTTTCTCTCTCTGCCTCTCTCACTCGTCTCTCTTCTCTTTATCTCTTTCTCGCTCATCTCTCTTCTCTCTATCTCTCTCATCTCTTTTCTCTCTATGTCTTTCTCGCTCATCTCTATATATATATCTCTCACTCGTTCATTTTTTTTCTCTCTATGTCTTTCTCTCGTTCATCTCTTTTTGTTCTCTTTCTCTCTCTTTTTGTCTATCTCTCCATCATCTCTTATTTCTCTCTCTTTTTCTGTCTCTTTCTCTTTCTTTCTCTGTCTCTTTGTCTTTCACTCTCTTTCACTCAGCACTTTTCTCTCTCTCTTCTTCTCTCTATCTGCCTGTCTATTTGTCTCCCCCTCATTGTGTTCGCCTTGCTTACTCTCCTCTCCCTTCTTCTCTATTTACCAAGCTATCTTTCGATTTATCGAGACACTACAAGAAAATGCACTTTTGGTGACCACTTTGTCTTTCTATCGCTCATCACTCTGTCTCTGTTTTTGTCTCTGTCTCTATCTCTTTTCTCTATCTGTCTCTCACTCATTTCTCTCTCACCACCGATCTCCTCTACCACCTTCACCACTACTACAAATGTCATTCCACTACCACAACTACTACCACTGTTGCCACTCCGCCTCTACAACTATCATTACTACCACCATTACCACCACCCCACTACCACCATTACTACTACCATTACCTCTTATCCACCGCCGCTACTCTATCTCCTCTACCACTACCACAACTTCACCACTAATCTCATTCGCTATCACCACCAACATCACTATCACCTCTTATCCACCACCTTCACCACTACTGTCGCTCCCTATCTTCTACCACAAAAAAATAGTTCTTGATTTTTAGTAACAAAAAAAAATGAGTCGCAGAAAAATATTTTTCATTGATGACAAAAAATTAACTTTATTTTAATGGAAAATATTTTTTATTCAAAATGAATAATAATAATAATAATTTTTTATTCAATAAAATAAAAATGAAACAAATAAATTTTCTACCTTAATAACTAAAAGAAAACAACAAATAAAAAACAAAAAATTTCATTAACTATAAAAAAAATTATTTTAACAAAAAATAAAATTTTTAAATATTCATTTGTGATGGAAATCAAAAATATATATATATATATATATTCCATTCACACACCCCCATTTTTTTTTCATTCCCGCTCGGGTTACCAAAAACCCCCAATCTCTTGAACCAAAAATCTCCTTCAACCAAAAATCCCCGTTCGGATTACCAAAAACCCCGAATCTCTTCAACCAAAATCCCCAATCTCTTGAACCAAAAATCCCTAATCTCTTCTTACGGCTCTCTCTCTCTCCAGCGAGCGGCGACAGACGACGGTGAGCGGCAAACGACGTCATCAAGCAGCGTGCGACGAATACGAAGTTCCTCATCTCTTCTCTCTCATTCTAGACCCTTCGAAGCCTCCTCGCCTTCCAAGTTCGTACAAAACGCCGTGGTTTCATCGGAGTACGAGCAAGAACAGGACCTATTGAGCGATGCAGAGGAACCCAGTTATGTTTGATAATGTTTAGCTCATTGTTATTTTGTAAATTTATATTTAAAATTTCAAACTATTATGTATTATAATTTTAAAATTTTGATATTGATATTCATTTGTAAATGACAGGTGTTTGGAGGAAGGGGCAGAGGATTTTATAGTAAACCTGTTAAATGATTGGACGTGAAACGTTACAAAGATAAGTCTTCGATGATGATGATGTTCATGTTCTTGTAAAGGTATTAAGTAAATTCATATTTTTTTGGCATCCATTTTCATGCACATAGTGTTTGATTAAATGTGTCAATGGGTTTGTTTTGTTTGTGTTGATAGTCACTGCAGTGGATGATGGAAGGAGAGCTCTGCAATTTCTAGGATTGGATGATGAGGAAAAGAGCTATGTTGGGTTTGATGATGATGTTCATGGTTTTTTTTTTTTTTTTTTGTGTAGAAGAAAATGCTTTGCTTATTTTTCCTCTCTGTTTTGTGTGTTGATCAAATGATTCATAATAATTCTAGAACATCAGGTGAAGATGATTTCACTTTGGAGACCTAACTGTGGTACCCACTAAAACACCAAACAAATGTTATGAAAAAAAAAAGTATCTGGAAAAAAAAAAGAAGCAGCATGTTATATATGTGTTTTAAGACCCACCTTCAACAATGAAACCAATCTTCAAAAAAAAGTGCCATTCTTGCTGGGGTTTGTTGAATTTGATTAACTGTGTTTACCTGTTGTGTTTATCAAATTTTGAGGTTTATGATAATGGGTCGATGGTAAAGCAAAAGAAAATCAAATTCCTTATTTTTGGTTTTGGAATTTGATGTGTTGTTTACTCATGATGTCAAGATTTGGGAATGACAGTAACAACTTTGATTGATAGTATTTGGCATAAATAGATGCGTTAAAATGTCTGTAACAGATATCAATGCTTGATGCGAAGCTGGCATAAGCATTAGTGTAACATTTCTTAGAGTGCGCCCATTTTTAGGGATGCACACCATAGATTTTTCCTTTAATATTATGTCTTACTTTATTTTTTATTCATGAATTGAAATATGATAGTTTATATCAATTACTAAAAAAAATTTATTATCATTCTCACCCCTTCGGATAGGAAATTATAGTTCCATATCCTTGTCTATGTATAGATTATTGGCTAAGGTTATTGAATTGTGGGTCTTTTGATTTTGATTTATTTATTTATTTTTGGCTTTATTTTTTAATTTGTAGCTATGAGTCGGCAGAGGATTGCGCAGATGACGATGATACTAAGATTGGGATTAGTCAGTTGAGGAAAAGTCTCCTAGAAAAGCTAAAAATGCATAGTTTGTTTGTCAAAGTAAGACATTGAACATTGTTTTGCTTTATTTTGTTTCCTTGCTAGTTATTGGAAATGATCAGGTCCTGTTCGTATCATGATATTAGATCAATGAGACAATTCTTTTGTTCCATATGGCGAGTCTTGAGGCTACTACAACTAATTGCTGGACCAAACAACAACAGTAATGTGTTTATGTGCATGAGTGAGTGTGGTTATTTAGAATAACAATCTAGAAAACTGGAACTCAAGATCTAACACTTGAATTCCTAAACCTCACTTAAAAAACTGCTAGTAGGCTAAGTGTGCTTCTGATATATTTTTTGATAAGTTAACTTTATTCCTTATTTTATCATCAATGTTGGTCTCGATCAATTTTTCTATTAAAAATTATTTCTTTTGAAGATTGGGGTCCGGATCCCCAAAAAAAAATGAGAAAAATAAAAACAGTTGGTTCCTGTTAGACTACTGGTTGTGCACGAAGATACTTGTTGCAAGAGCATTGAGTGCATGAGCCATTTTCTTCCTGGATGATTTTTGATTGCAAGTTGTTGTTGTAGCATTGGACATAGTGGGTTTGAGTACCTAAAGCTAAAAAATGTTTACAAGCTAGTTGTAACTGTAGAGCTAGTTGTATGTGTGGGAGAAATGTAAGAGAAATTTGAGTGCATAAAGATAAAGAATATTTGTCTAAAAGAAATTTCTAATGCTTCTTTCAATTGCAACACTATTCGTGCTCTACATCCATGCAGCTTGATCACTGAAGCTTTTCTTGGGGAATGGATAGATATGCAATCAGTACCATTTATTATGGGCTATTAACTAAACAATTCACTTGTTAATATGCAGTCTGTTTGGAGCTTTTAATTCAACTATTGCTTTCATGTATCTTTGCTAATTAGTGTTGCGAAATTAATTTACACTAATCAGATACCTATGCATGTAATTATTCTTCTCATGCATATAATGGTACTCTGCTTGACGCTGAAACACTGTGCCCTTGATCACCCATGTAAAAATCGCATCGAGCAACGTACTTCTCCTGTATAACCACAACTTCCTTTTCCTTAAGATTCGACTCCCAATGCCAATGCCTGGGCAACCCGGATGGATGCGTGGTTCGTCTTTGATTCTTGTGCCTTTTACTTAGTAGGGCCTACTTCTAATATAATACTCCATTCTTCTTGTTGTTAGAGGTACACATCCCTCTTCTCGGTGTGGAATGATATACAAGAAATAGATGCTCAGCGCAGGCATCGATGCCGGGGTTGTTAACAACTCCGCCGGTCCCAAGCCCGGGTTAAGGAGGAGGGTTGTGTGTTAGGTAGTCGATAGCCAACACGTAAAAAAGCCACTCGGATCCTTTATGAAAATAAATCCTACTTTGAATCGTTTAAATGCTAGGTCGTTCCTCTCAAGTGACGCGTTGCGCCTACCTCCGGGAGTTTCGAAAAGTGAGCAAGGGGCGCCGCATCGACGCCTGGGTGCGGTGAAAAATGGGCAAAGGTTTCTACGTTTTTTTGGACGAGCGCGAGCAAAGAAGCTAGTCCAAGACCATAGGTTTAGGGTAGCCACTTGGAACATAAGAACCTTAACTGGTAGGACAATGGAATTGGTAGATGTTATGATTAGGAGGAGAGTTAGTATAACTTGCATACAAGAAACTAAGTGGACGGGAGAGACAGCTAGGGAAATTGAGGATACTGGTTTTAAACTTTATTATAGTGGTAAGGATAGATGCAGGAATGGGGTAGGAATCATAATTGCCAAGGGTCTTGTGGAAAGTGTGGTGGCGGTCACTAGGAAAGGAGATAGGATTATGCTAGTTAAACTAGTTATTGGAGGGAATATAGTGAACATTATTCGCGCTTACGCCCCTCAAGTAGGGTTAGATGATCAGACTAAGAGGGATTTTTGGGAGCAAATGGATGAGATCTTACAGGAGATACCCGTAGGAGAGAACCTGGTTATAGGTGGAGATTTTAATGGCCATGTGGGCATAGATAAACTAGGTTATGAAAGGGTGCATGGTGGATACGGTTTTGGTGACAGAAATGAGGCTGGAGAGAGAATCTTAGATTTTGCGTTGGCTTCTGACCTGGTGGTGGCCAATACTATGTATAAGAAGAGGGATGGGCATTTGATAACCTTTAAGAGTGAATTAGTTAAGAGCCAAATAGATTACTTCTTAGTGAGAAAAGTGGACTGCCTAAAATGCAATGATTGTAAGGTGATTACTGGAGAGAGTCTGGTCGTTCAACATAGGATTTTGGTACTAGATTTATGTTTTAGAGGGCAATACCAAGCTAGGAAGGATGGTGGGCGTCGTAGGACGAGATAATGGGACTTAAAAGGAGATAAACCAGAAATATTTGAAAATCGAATGGATAAGGAAGGTACTTGGGACTTAGAAGGTGATGCTAACACTATGTGGAATTCGATGGCCAATTGTATGAGGAGAATCTCAAGGGAAGTGCTTGGAGAGTCGAAAGGAACGGGACCCAGCTCTAGGGAAACTTGATGGTGGAGGGAAGAGGTTCAAGTAGTAGTTAAGGCAAAAAAAGAGTGCTTTAAAAAGTGGCAGAAGGATAGAACTGAGGAAAATCTTAAGAGCTGTAGATTGGCTAATAAGGAGGTCAAGAAAGTAGTGAGAGAGACTAAGTTGAAAGCTTATGATGACCTATACACTAGACTAGATAGTAAGGAGGGAGAGAAGAGGGTATACAAACTTGCTAAGATACGAGAGAGGAAAACAAGAGATTTCAATCAAGTAGAGTGCATCAAGAGTGAGGATTCTAAGGTATTGGTGAAGGATGATGAGATTAAGGAAAGATGGAAGAATTATTTTGAGAAACTGTTAAATGAGGAACATGGAAGTACGATAATAGGGGAAGAAATAGCCAGTAATACGATAAACCAAGACTATAGGTTCTATCGCAGGATTAGGAACTTTGAAGTGGAGATTGCACTTAAGAAGATGAAATCAAATAAGGCTTTAGGACCCGATGATATCCCTATTGAAACTTGGAAGTGTCTGGGTAAAAAGGGAGTTGCTTGGTTGACTAGGTTTAGCAAAATTTTGTTGACTAGGAACATACCAGATGAGTGGAGGAAGAGTATTTTAGTGCCAATCTATAAGAATAAAGGTGATGTCCAGAATTGTAACAACTATAGAGGAATCAAGCTAATGTGTCATATAATGAAAGTGTGGGAGAGAGTGATGGAACGTCGATTGCGAGACATAACAAAGGTGTCAGAGAATCAATTTGGGTTTATGCCTTGCAGGTCAACAATGGAAGCGATCTATCTTTTAAGGAGAGTAATAGAAAAGTATAAAGAAAAGAAAAGAGACATTCATATGGTGTTTATCGACCTTGAGAAAGCATATGACAGAGTGCCCCGAGATATAATATGGTGGGTGTTAGAGAAGAAATGGGTGACAAAAGGCTACATTGACGTGATTAGGGACATGTATGAAGGGGTGGTGACCACTATTAGATCGCCAGTTGGAGAGACAAATGAATTTCCTATCACTGTAAGGTTACACCAAGGATCTACCTTAAGCCCTTATCTTTTTGCTTTAGTTATGGACGAGTTGACGATAAATATTCAGGATGACGTGCCATGGTGTATGCTTTTTGCAGACGATATTGTGTTAGTGGATGAGACTAGAGAATGAGTTAACACAAAGTTGGAGATTTGGAGACAAGCTCTTAAATCTAAAGGATTCCGGATAAGCAGAACTAAGACAGAGTACATGGAGTGTAAATTTAGTAACAGTAACAATGAAAGCAGAGGAGAAGTGAAGATTGAGAACCAAGAACTGCCTAAGAGTGAACATTTTCGTTATTTAGGGTCGATTATCACAACAGCGGGAGAGATTGATACAGATGTGGCCCATAGGATTAAGGCGGGATGGTGTAAGTGGAGAAGTGCGTCAAGGGTATTGTGCGATAAACGAATACCCACTAGACTAAAAGGTAAGTTTTATAGAACAGCTATTAGACCAGCTATGCTGTATGGGACGGAGTGTTGGGCAACCAAGAAACAACATGTAGATAAGATGAGTGTGGCTGAGTGAGGATGTTAAGGTGGATGTGTGGTAAGACTAGACAAGACAAGATTAGGAATGAGTGTATTCGAGAATGGGTAGGAGTAGCATCGATAGAAGATAAGTTGAGAGAGAATCGTTTGAGATGGTTTGGTCATATTCAACGGAGACCAACAGAGGAAGTAGTGAAGAGATGCGATGCTATAACGATAGATGGAAGTGTTAGGGGACGGGGTAGGCCTAGATTAACGTTGACTAGCGTTATAAATAGAGATATGAATCTACTTAATTTGACTAATGAAATGGCCTTTGATAGGGCCGCGTGGAGAAGAAGGATTCATGTAGCCGACCCCATTTGATGGGACTTAAGGCTTGGTTTGGTTTGGTTTGGTTTAGATGCTCAGCGCAGCCTGCAATGTCTGGTAACGACGTTGAAGGTTTAACAGGGTTTTTGTGTGGAGTTCCTGTTCCTCTTGCAGCTAGTTTATGGGTCCCCAAAAGGGTCCCAATACAATTAAGGTTCCTAAACACTGAAGTCCATCTTTAATTATAATCTATATTTTTGATAGGATAATCAATAAATACTTGATGAAGTTTGAAATATATTTCTTGATTGAAATATACCATAGCAAGGTTAACTTGGGTGGCCCTTGGAGAAGTTGATTGATTAAATTCTTGTAGGATTGCTTTTAGTGGCTATGGTAACGGAAACAAAAACAATTTTTTTGGTGTTGGAACGTTCTTAGCTTTGATTTGGGTAGTCTGAATTGAAAAGAAGGGTAGTCTGAATTGAAAAGAATGGTAGTTTATGTGACTGAACAGGACACTTAAAATTTCCGTTACCCACTCCGTTCAAGTTGTTTGGCTAGTAGGTTACTTGGGGTTTGACATTAACCAATTCTTCAAACTGGACTTGATATGTACACTGGCAGCAAATGATGCTTTTGGAAAATTTTAGTTTATTCTTCTGTTGCATGGATAATGCACCCTTGCATATTTTCACATGGCACTCAAACACACATTTGTGTGCTTACTTTTGGGACTTATTTGTTTTATAACTTATTATTCTTATTAGCTTTATGAATTATTTCCTTCATTTATCATAAACAGTTAAGGAAGATTTTAAATTTAAAATAACATAACAATTATGGACTGTTTCTATATTTCCATTTTCCTGTCTTTTTTTTTGGTGCTGAATTATTCAAACTGAAACCTAGAGCCAGAGACCCTGACAAGAAGTCAATTTTTGTCAAACAATTTTTAGTAAGAGCGTCAACAAATAATAAATATAGTTTGTTTGTTTGTTTGTTTTTTTTTTTTTTTTTTTTGGTGGTGGTGGTTTGCTAACCTATTTTATGTTCTATGTAAAAATCTTACTTAGATTAACTTGACCTCTCTTACATGAATTTGTAACTTGGCTTACCGAACAATCTGATTGATTTCACTATGGGGTGGCATTTCTCAAGTAATCCAATATGGTTCTCAGTTAGCAGCTGTGAGAGCGTACTCTTTTGAGGTACGCTTGTCCCTTAGGCTTCCTTTGCCACTTGCTAACTGGTAATACTGGGATCTTAAGTTTCACTGGTACATTTGAGTAAATTGAAGCTTTGATTCATGTCACCTGTGAATTACTCACTCTAACCCCTAAACCCTCTATTGTTTTTGCTTCAAAATATTTCAGGGAAATTTTCGTCGAGGAGAAGAAAGTATATGTAAGAGATTTTGTGAAGCTTTTTGAAGAGGCTTGATCTATTTTTTCACATTTCAAGCAGATTTATGGGCTACATATAAATGGAGCCTTTTGTCCAGAAAATATAGTTCATCAAAACAAAGAGGTCATAGCACTAGCCTCTTTAGTTTGCTTCATTCAAAATATTTCTTTACATTTTGAATTATTTTCTTGATGAAAATTTTCTTTTTAACACATAATTATATTGTCATTAATTATTTTTATTTTTTTTTCCAGATATTTCCAGAGTAGGAGTTTGCGTCTTGTGGATTTCATGCCTGTGAAGAATGCCATTAATTTTTGTTTTTGTACCACGAAGAATGTTGAGGAAAATTTTTAATTTTGATTTATGTTATTTTGAATTATGAAGAACATTATGTAGTTAAACATTATATATGTATTATGGAACATTATGTACTGGGTTAATTTTGTTAATGTATAGTTATGAATATAAGAATATGTTTATTATGGAGAAATTATTATTTCTATAGAGGAATTTTTATATTATTATGCAATTTTTGGTTTTTTTTTTAAATTCTTTTTCATTGAATACAGGTAATTTTAATATTTTTAATTAATTTATAAGAGGTTTTTTTAGTTTTTTAGTTTTTTTAGTTTTTTTTTTTTTTTTTTTTTTTTTGCGACGGTACCAAACCGTTGCAAAAAACAAGTATTTTATAATTTTTAATAAATATTGCGTTTTTTGCGACGGCACCACACCGTCGCAAAAAATCAAAAACATTTTTTTGTGACATAATCAATGCTGTCGCAAAAAGAAATATGTCGTCGCAAAAAAAAAAAACAATTTGCGACGACAATTTCTACTGTCTCAAATAATACTTTTAGCGACGGTAAAACAATGTCGTCGCAAAAAGGTCTTTATTTTTACACATTATTTGCGAGAGTAAAATGCCGTCGCAAATAGTAACATATGCCGTCGCCAAAAAAAGGCGACACTAAAAAGTTTTTGCAATGCCCTCTATTGTGACCCCCCGGTTTGCCGTCGCTAAAAGTCATTAGCCGTCGCTAAAAGTTTTTTGAGACGACATAATGAGTATTTGCGACGGTATTTTACCGTCGCAAAAAATCAAATTTTTTGTAGTGGGAGTTACTTTTTCATCTATTCTATTCTCTTCAATAATTCTTTTAATTTTTTTTCTATTTTATTTGTTAGTTTATTTTTCAAAAATTTTGATGCAACAATTTCATTAAATATTAGGAAGAGGAGAGAGGGGAGATAATTTTAGTTTTATAATTTAAGAGAATGAATATGGTGACTCATCACATGTAGGTAATCATCGTAACACTATATACTTTTAAAAGTCTCTTTAGAGGGTTGTTGAGATAAAATTTAAAATGATCACTTTGTAACGTTGTGTTTGGATAATTGATTTAGATAGTAATTTTAAAAGTAGAAATAAAAAAAAAATTAATTTATATTTTATTTACAACTTCTTTATTTTTTCCCTTTTTCTTTTAGATTTCTAGCCCCTAAACAAAATTTTAAAAAATTAAGAATTGAAAATAAGGAAGATAAGATGCTCTTCAAATCATTCCCCCCCCCCCCCCCCCCCCCCCCCCCCCCAGAACCTAAAAACAAGTGGTTTACCTTGCCTTTCTCTTTCACTCCAAGACTCCTTTGGATATATGTCAAAAGCTGTGATTGGATGCCAATAGATTTAATAGATTTATGTGGGTTCACGTAATAATATAATGATAAATTATTGATAATTTTGATTGACAACATTAGTCTTGTTCTTTTATGACAAATTTACTGGTATATTTGCCTTATAATACTTTATGACATGGTCAATTTTTGACAACTTATATTCATGGAAGTAATTTTTGGTGGACTTTTCTTCATCTAATCAAAGGAATTGGGGATGTTGCTGTGTAGAATGCGCAACATCAATTGTTGTTATGCAGTGAAATGGATTCATTTCAAGACTCATTTCGATAACACGAACCATTTTAAAATACATTAAGTAGAATATGCTTGTAAAAATTTAAGTTAATCTTTACCTATTCATTAACTCATATTTATATCTATAAAAATAAAAAATATTTGTGATTTAAAGTATTAAAATGAATACAAATGTAAGTGGATGAATGAGTAAATAATATCTGATTAATTTATTTTTTGCAGGCATATTTTACTTGATGTATTTTAAAATATGAACAGTTCAAATTATCAAAATGGACTCCAAAATTGACCAATTTCGCTGCACAACAATTACTGCTGATATTAATTTTTTAAACCAATACAAACTTAGAATTTATTTATTTGTATAAAAAGTGTCGAAATGTAACACTTGTCAATATATACAATGCTGTTACTAAGGGTGTGTTTGGTAACGTTTACGTTTTCAGTTTATATTTACAAAAATTTTATAAATTGCTTTTTGTTTATTTTTAGAAAAACATAAACTACAAACGCGTTTGGTAATTGACAAAATGTTTAAAAAAATTTAAAAATATAAAAAAAAGGTGAGAAATGGCAAGTGGTGGCGGAAGACAGTGGTGGAAAGTGGTGACGGTGGTTGGTGGGTAGCTGGTGGTGGTGGGTGGTGGGTGGTAGCGAGTGGGTGGTGGTGGCGATGGTGGTGGGTGGCGGTGGCAGGTGGGTGGCGGATGACGGGTGGTGGTGGGTGGTGGCGGGTAGGTGACGGGTGGTGGTAGTGGGTGGGTAGATGACGGTGGCGGGTGGTAGCGAGTAGCGAGTGGGTGGTGGTGGTGGTGGCAGGTGTGGTACGTTGGCGGATGAGCAGAATAAGAGATAGAGATAGAGAGAGATAGAGATCGGGTTGGGTCGGTGATGGAGTAAAGGCATAATGGGTGTAGTGTAGTGGCGGGATGGTGATCGGTAGGTGGTGTGATGGTGGGGGTGGTAGCGAAGTGGGATAGGTGGGGTGGTGTGAGTGGTGGTGGTGAGTGGCAGGCGGTTGCGGGTGGCGGGTGGTGGTCGAGTTGGTGGCGGGCTGGTGATAGTGGGATGAGCGGTGGACAGGGTGGTGGGGTGGTGGTGGATGACGGGGTGGCTGGGTGGTGGTGGTTGGATGTATTTGGGTGTTGCTGAAGTGGGTGGCGGTGGTAATGATGGTGGTGGTGTCATGGCGGGTGGTGGCAGGTGGCTGGTGATGGCAGGTGGTCGGAAAGTTGGTGGCAATAGTTTGTGGTGGTGGTGGTGGTCGCAAGTAAGAGTGGCGGGTGGTGGTGGATGGTAGTGCGGGTGGGGTGGAGGCGGGTGGTGTGGGTGGTGGCTGAGGGTGAGTGGTGGTAGCGAGTGGGTGACAGGTGGGTGGTGGTGGTGGGTAGTAGTGGGTGGGTGGCAAGTTGGTGGCAGGTGGGGTGGTGAGTGGTGAGTGGTTGTGCAGGTGGTGGTGAGGGTGGGTGGTGGTGGGAAAGACGGTGGTGGAAATGGGGCGGTGGTGGCTTCAGTGTTGGGTGGTAAAAAAAACTGAAACATCAAAATGAAACGACATTTTTTTGTGTTTTTATTTTTTGGCCAAATTTATAAACTGAGACCACTGATTTATAAATCAAAAATTTTACCAAACAAATTTTTATTTGAATTTTTAAAATTTTTGTAAATATAAATAAAAAATTAAAAACGTAAGTGTTATCAAACGGCACCTAAACAATTTTTTATAATTTTTTTAAAGTTCGTAGCATTAGTGCTAAAACAATGAATTCCAAATCATTATTTTGATTCGGCATGTACTTTTGACTACATCCACGTTGTTACATTAGAAGATTTTGTGAGGACCATGTGATTTGAAATCAAAATATTTAATTAATTTTTATTGTTTATTTTTTCTAATACATGTTGAAAAAGTAAATCATATCCATGGTTTCCTACTTCCTATTGGCTAATAATTTTGTGCCTTTCGTTTCTGTTTCATTTCCTATTTTATGTTCTTAAAGAAATTGATACAGAAAATTTGTTTGTTAAATAGTTTCCAAAAATATTTTGAAAACACTGCAGTTTTAGGAATCACTTTCAAATATAATTTGAATTTTTGAAACTAGTATCACACAAAAATGAAAATAATTAATATTCCCAACTTTTTATTATTTTTATTTCTAAAACATGAAAAGCAAATCCAAAGATCTGAAAATAATTGTTAGGTTTTGCTTGCCATTGGGTGACTTTATCTGTTGGCAATGGGCACAAGACCTTTGAGGCAAGTACATAATATATTTAATTGAACTACCAAACCCATTTCAAAGTTTTGTGACTTTTATTTGTTAGATCACATTTACTACATTAATGCATACAACAATGTTACGGATTACAAAAAAATATTTACAAAATCCATCTCGAAACTATTCTTAATCAATCATCTGGTTAATCTTTTTCAATCAGCTGACCATAGTTTCGAGACTGATTTTCATAAAATATTTTTCATGATCTATAACATTTTTATAATACATATCTCGATAACCACCTCTCTCTCTCTCTCTCTCTCTTCTAATTCTTTTATGTTAGTTGAAATGGGGCCAAACCCATGTTCTAAACGTGAGCCTGTTTTGTCAATGTCACAATCATCAAAGGATCATGTATGCATGGATTCAACCCCACAGATTGCCCTTTAAAAGGGTATGTGGTGGGGACGGGAGGCTCAAACCCACCTCTTATTAGTAGCAAATCCTAAAATGTTACCGATTACTTCTTTTATGTTAGTTGAAATGGGGCCAAACCCATGTTCTAAACTTGAGGCTGTTTTGTCAATGTCAAAATCATCAAAGGACATGTATGCATGGATTCAATCCCACAGAGGGAAGAATTGCCCTTTGAAAGGGTATGTGGTGGGCAGGGGAGGGGAGGCTCGATCCCACCTCTTATTAATATCAAACCCTAATTGTGATTAAATTGATGAGCAATGGGCTTGACTTTCAACATATATTGTCCACCCATTGGGACCAAAAAAGTGCCCAACCGTTGCCCTTTTAAAGTCTTGGACCATCACACAGAAAGGTACCTTTGTACTTAAAAATAAAAAATAAAAAATAAAAAGAAAGTAATGTTAGAAATTCTGAAAAATTTATCAATTTTTTTATTAAATGTTTTACATGAGTGTTTTTACCAAA